GTCTACATCCATCCTTCCAGTGCTCTCTTCAACAGACAGCCCGAATGGTAGGTGACAGGAGAGAGACGCACAAGAGAGCGAGAGAGAGCATGAGAGCGCTTCTGAGTCTCTGCATCCCCACTTCCCCTTTTGACTTTGTAGTTCTGGAGTAGCATAAGCGCAAATTAGGTACACTAACAAGCTCCCCACTTTTTCTTAATATGTATTTGTGTGTATACAGATGTATTTGTGCATGTGTGTGGAGGGCAGAGGACAGCCTCAGGAGGCATTCTCCTTTTACAATAATCTTACTGCCTGGAGGACACCAATTAGACAAGATTGGCTGGTGGGCCCCAGGTGCCCTCGTGTTTCCGCCTCCATTCTCAGTACTGAGATCACAAATGCATATCACCACGCCCAGTATTCTGTTGGTGCTGAGGGTTGAGCTTGTTCTTGCAAGGCAAGCATTTTGTCTACTGAGTTGTCTTTCCAGCCCATAAACAGCCTTGTAAGAGAAGTAAAATTATACGGGTAAAATCAGGGAAAGAGCTTAGAAATCATCTAATGAGATGGTTTTATAAAGGTTTTGTGGGGCTGGGCAGTGGTGGCGCATGCCTTTAATCCCAGCACTTGGGAGGCAGAGGCAGGCGGATTTCTGAGTTCGAGGCCAGCCTGGTCTACAGAGTGAGGTCCAGGACAGCCAAGGCTACACAGAGAAACCCTGTCTCAAAAAACCACACACACACACACACACACACACACACACACACAGGTTTTTGTGGGCTTTTTGTTTTGTTTGTTTCGAGATAGAGTCTCACTGTGTACCTCTGGTTGGTTGGTCTGGAACTCACTAGGTAGATCAGGGTGGCCTCGAACTCAGAGAGATCTTCCTGCCTCTGCCTCTCAAATCTTAGAACTAAAGACATGGACCTCTGCACCCAGTGTTGTCTTAAAAAATTTATGCCATGCATGGTGGCTCACGCTTGTAATCCCAGATCTCAGGAGGATAAAGCAGAAGGATTGCCTTGAGTTTGAGACCAGTCTGAATTATCCACATGGAAACCCAGTCTCAAAGGAACAAAACCAGGCTTGAGATGGCTCAGCAAGTGAGGGTGCTTGCTATACAACAAGATGGCCCAAGTTTCATCACCAGAACCCACAGAAAGGTGGAAGAAGAGAACTGACTCCACAGAGCTGTCCTCTGATCTCATGTGTATGTGCATGCTCACACAAATACACACACATACACACGCACACACACCAGCGTGTGCCACTATACCTGGCGCTATGCATTGCCTTGCCCACTTGGTCCTCACCATCCCTTGGTGATAATCTCTGTGACCCCTCTATAGAACTTAGAATTCTGTGGAAACTATCTGAGAAACCACTATTTTATTTCACAGAGCAAGAAACTGAAATCTAGAGAAGGGACAGGGCTATTTTCCCTGTCACTCAGTTAGTTCATGTCAGAGACAGGACTAGAGCTGTTTCTCTGCGAGCAGTTTGTGTTGGAAGGGTGTAGGCTTGCAGGATTGGGGTGTGGCTTTGATAGTCTCCTGAGGGATCAGGCAGGAGAAATGATAGAACAAAACGCCAGCTTGGCTGTGATTTCCCCAGTGGACCAAACTGGCTGTGGAGTAGGGTCTAGTCTAAGGCTTGTGTCCTGTCTGTCTCCCCCAGGGTGGTATACCACGAACTGGTACTGACCACAAAGGAATACATGCGTGAGGTCACCACCATCGACCCCCGGTGGCTTGTGGAGTTTGCTCCAGCTTTCTTCAAAGTCTCTGACCCAACCAAGCTAAGCAAGCAGAAGAAGCAGCAGCGCCTGGAGCCTCTGTACAATCGGTATGAGGAGCCGAATGCCTGGAGAATCTCCCGTGCTTTCCGGCGGCGCTGAAAGACAGCTGACCACTCTCACCTCTCCTGCACCGTGGCTTCCTCTGGCTGATAACAAGCTAGTCCTGTGTGACTTATCTTAAACTGAGCATTTTCCAAGCCTGACTCTCTTCATAGTGTAAGATACAAACATTTAAGCAGGGCTTTGGCCAGAGCCATTAATCCCAGCACTTGGGAAGCAGAGGCAGAAAGATCTCTGAGTTCAAGGGCAGTCTGGTCTACAGAGCAAGTTCCAGGACAGCCAGGGCTATACAGAGAAACCCTGTCTTGAAAAAAGTCACACACATACACACACACACACACACACACACACACACACACACACACACACACAAAGAAAAATTAGATAAGGTGTGCGTCCTGGGATGGACAAGGGGCATGAGTGACTGTCTGAGGCCTGTCACCCCAGCTCATGCTTGCTGAAGGAATGAACCATGGCTCTCGTGGACCATGTTGGCCCTGCCCTCTACCCACTCCCCAGCCTATGTACTTGGGTTTCTACCTCCTGGAAATATTTATTTTTTTAAGGAAACAATGGTTTATTATGACTTTGTTTTGTTGGGCAGGGGTAGCTACAAGGTCAGGCTCTCTGCCTGAGTTCAGTGTGGTGCACATGGCAGAGTCTCTTGACACCAGAGCCCAGCCTCTCTGGGTCCAGACATGATGCATGGGCCAAACCTCCAGTCTGTCTTTCAGCACCACTGGAGCTAGCTCAGCCTTGACAGCACATGTCCCCAGATTAACCAAGCCTGTGCCAGAGTGCTTCAGTGTGGCTCCTGGCAGTTACAGATGCCGCATCAGAACACAAAACTCTCCTTGATCCTTTGTCTCTTTCCTGCCACTGTCATTGAGTGGTATGTTCCATTTCCTTTAAAACATAACAAATAACAACACTATGACAGTGTTCCCTCAGTCAGCAGAAAGCAAGCACTCCTCTCAGCTTCTATGAGCTGATGAGACTTGTGATCTGGGGAGTGACCCATACCTTCACTCCTGTTAGTGGTTTTCCTAGTTCTCCCTTCTGAGAACTCTGAGGTTCTGTGCTGATGGGAGCCCCATCATCCTGCCAAGCCAGACTGGAGCTTGCTGAGGAGCCCTGGGGATATTGGGCTCATCCTGGGCCATGGAATGCCTCCTTCAGCCCACGTTAGTAACTTCTAACTGTAAGTTAAATGCTGAATAGTAGGCCAGATGCCTAAAGAGAAAGATGTGTCCTTTCCTGTTACCCTGTGAGGACTTATACAAAATTGAAGCAGGAACCCAGGATCCAGCTCCTGGTCTAACAGAACGCTTGACGGTTGACAAGTGTGAGCCACCCTTGCATGGGGCCTTGCTAACCTCTGTACTCCACTTCTAGTGTATTTCTCCCCCCCCCCCCCTTCCCTCTTCATTGGAGAAGGAAAGCATGTCCTCTATACTGAGCTCTGGCCCTGGAAAGATCAGGGTTGCAGGGCCGACTGTGGATGCATCCTTCCCTTTGTTACTTGAGAGCTGGAGCTGTGACCCCTGGATCTGACCTCTGACCACCCATCAGAATAGCCATGCCAATTTACAAGCCCAGGCTACGCTGAGGGAAAGAAGTGTCCTGTTGAGATCTGGAGGGAAAACTGGCCTGAGAACAGGACAGGAGGGCCCTTGGCCCTGATTTCCCTCCGTACCACAAACCCCACCCCACGTGTATATGTTTGAAACTGGTTCTCACTCTAAAGCCCAAGCTAGCTTTGGATTCATCGTGGTCCTCCTGCCTGTCAACTGCTAGGTTTACAAATGTACATCAGCAGGCTGATCTTGTCTCTTTAGGGAAAAAAATCGCCTGAAGTATTTAATGTTACATGTATGGATATTTTGCCTGTACACATGTCTGTGTACCATTTATGTGCCATGCCTAGTACCTGCAGAGGCCAAAGGAGGATATCCGACCCTTTGGAATTGGAATTAGAAATGTTTGGGAGTTGTCATGTGGGTGCTAGGAATGAAAACCAGGTCCTCTGGAAGAGCAGCCAGTGCTTTTAATAGCTGATCCGTGTCTCTAGGCTCCTGTCTCTCATTTATTCGTGAGCCAGTATTTCCTAAGAGGAGAGCCCAAGAGATGATGTGGGTCTTACACACAGAACTGGAATCTTCTTGGCCACTGTGTGCATGTGTGTGGAGATGAGAAGACAGCCCACGGGGAGTTTGTTCTCCACTATGTGGATGTTGGGGACAGAACTCAAGTATTTAGGCTTGTCCGGAAGGAAGCACTGAGTCATCCTGCTGGGCCTAAACATCCCCCCCACCCCCCATCCCCATTGGTTTTCTGTCTCTTGCTCTGAGTTATGAGTCAGTATATTGATTTTCTGTGTTTCTAGGAAAAAGTGGTGCTTTTATTTGTGGGCAGCAGTTGGGGTTCTGTTGAACAGGCATTTTTACCTGAGCAGGGTCCTGGAAAGCTGGCTCTAGATTCTGTCCCTGTTTCTCCCACCTGGGATGGGTCTTAGAAGAATGTTTGCCG